GGGGGGGGGAGGAGTGGGGGTGGGGAGAGGTGAGAGCAGAATTATTTTGTTACAGAGCTGTTATGATATATTCCAACTGGTCAAAACAAACACATATCAGCAAAACAAAAAAAATGACAAAGAACTATATTCAATTTTATGTGGTCACAATTCCCTCTTTAGGATGAGGGGAAAGGTTTGGTGTTGGTGTCTGGGTTTTTTAACTGTCTTCTTTATTGTCTTTATTCTACCTAAAAAAAGGTAGAGGGTCAGTTTTAGTTTCTGGGTAATGTAGAAAACCATAAAATACACCTACAAAAATATGTAATATATACCAGTTTGGGAAACTACAGTCACACCATTTCAGGACTGCAGAGGACTTGAAGGGGCACACCCACTTATCTCTGGCAGAAGTAACTGAGGCCCAGAGTGGGTGTCCTGCAGAGAAGATAGCATGAGTTAGCATAGCTTGTTCTGGAACTCAGGTCACCTGCCTCATTTGATGGCATATTCAAAATGTCTGTCTATTCTCTAGGGCAGTCGGCCTCAAAATTGAGCATGCATCAGAATCACCTGAAGGGTTTGTTAAAACACCCCCTAAGCTCCACCCCGTTTCTGAATTAGTAGGGATGGGGTGGGCTCAGGAATTTCCATTCCTAACAAGTTTCCAGGTAATGCTAATGCCACTGGTCTGGGGACCACACTCTGTGACCCACTGTCCTAGGAATTGGGAACATGGGCTTTGGAATCTGACACAACTGGGTTCCAGCTCTACTCTGCCACTGGTTGTATGATCCCTGGGAAAGTTACCCAGACTCTCTGAACGTCAGTTTCCAACATCTGAGCCCTATTGTGAGGACCTAAGAACAGAGGGCCCTGGTGGTAGAAGGGCTAAGAGCTCCGCTGCTAACCAAAAGGTTGGCAGTTCACACCCACTCAGCAGCTCCACAGGAGAAAGACCTGGCAATCTGCTTCTGTAAAGGTTACAGCCAAGAAAACTCTATGAGACAGTTCTCTGTCACATGAGATCTCTCTGAGTCAAAATCTGCTCAACGGCATTTAACAACAACAGACTAGACATAAAGCACTTGCTTAGCAAAGGGCCTGCACATTCCAAGGCAAGTGCTTAATAAATACTTGCTACATCCTACATTAGTGTCCCCACTTTTTTTTTTTTCCTTTCCCCACATACATCTATCAGAATGGCTAAAATTCAGAAGACAGACAGCATCTAAGACTGGCAAAGATGTGGAGCAACTGGAACATTTGCAGCAGCTTTATTCATAATAGCCAAAGCCCAAATGTCCACCAACAAGCAAACGGATAAAGAAACAGCTATGTCTATACAGTGGAATACTACTCAACAAGTTAAAAAGGAACAACATGAAAAAATCTCCATAACATTTTGTTGAGCGACAAGAGCAGACACAGAAGAGTACGTTCTGCATTATTTCATTTATATGGTTATGAAAGAAATCACAGTAACATTTGTCTCGAGCGAGTGGGAGAACTGATGGGAAAGGGACATGAGGGTGATTTCTGGGGTTATGGAAATGTCCTATATCTTAACTGGAGTGACGACGGCATGAGCCAATACATTTGTCAAAAGTTAATGTATATACTTAAGATCTGTGCATTTTACCGTAAGTTAACGACACTTCAATAAAGTATATAAAAACTTTTCTTTTTTCTAGTTTAGGCTCCTTCTGAAAAAGGACAGTCTTCTCCATTTAAAAGGAACCAACTCCAACCCTGCAGATCCATTTAACTTGTTTCCTTCACAATCCAGTCCTGCTTCTAATACCATTTGCTACAGACTATTTTGGTCCATACATCTTTCAGAGAGCTGCCATACAACAGAAACAGCAAAATCTTCTCCCACAAGAAGACCGTGACATTTCCATACAGGCAGCACGCAGAGCGACCGACATCGCTGGCAGTGGCTCACTCAAGGTGCAGACAGTACAGAAATAACGCTTTTCTTTGCCACATACCAAGGATGGACCTACCTGATACGACTGTCACAGTAATGAAGACACAGTAAGAGCAGTCCTGTCATGTCATTTAAATTATATTCTCGGTATGAAAGAGGGAACAGAAGCCTGGTGAAGTGGCTTCTGGTGCCATGTTTACTGGTAATGAAGATGTCAGAAGAGTTAACTGTTGCCTGTGTAATTATTACGTCAAGTAGTAGCTTTCACATTGCAGTGGATTCCAGGCCATTTGGGATTCCCCATCAACATTTTTATTCTACTTCATTACAAGTAGATTTACACACACACACTTGCTGTGAACATTCATGAACACACAGAATAGTCCTGAGACACTACAGTTCCCTTTGAATCCAGTTCTCAGGCCACTTGATTATCTCACCAACCATTCCTAAACCCATAATGAAGCAGCCCTGGGACGATGGCTCCTGGCTCTTTGATTAGCAGTGAAAAGAGGAAGCCCAGCTACATGCAACATCTGGCACACTGAAAACAAGTCCCCATGAACCCATTAGACACCACTGGACACCCCACTAGATGGGCCTGTCCTTCCTCCAGCTCTTTCTCCAAAATACCCATGTCTGTTCTCATGAAATGTCCCAACACAGTATTTTCTCTACAGTAGTATTCCATTGTATAGCCTCTATCAAGTCCTAATAATCCAGGTCCCTGACGTCAAAAGCTAACCTTACAAATAAATACTCAATTCAATTCAAACATAACAATAACTCACCTTTATTGAGCACTCAGTACAAGCCAGGCACTGTTCTTCGCACCTTCCATGCACTGGCTTACATAACACCCGTAAGAAAGCCATTTTACAGATAAGAAAATATTCTCAGAGGTGGTATATCTCAAGCAAAGGCTGGGGAGAAGGGCAATGAATGAGGCAGGGTCTCTCCCTGCAGTAAGCTTACTACCTGGGACAAGAGGGGAGGGACCCAACCAATAGTCCTGAGTAGCTCAGAGGAAGAAGGATTTGTTCATCCTGGCAGGATGCTGGAAGCCTTCTTGGAGGAGGTGTCCAAGGGGAGATGAGGACATAAACGGCCAAAGCTTTTCATAGCTAAGTGTCAGCCCCTCAGCTCCCAAGCTACCAAAAGGCTTAGCTATTCCCCCTGCCCCCTCTTCCCTTTCATCTCGAACAAGCCTGTTTCCAAGAGAAGCCCAGCTCAACCCTTCTTTCCTTTGACACATTCCTCCAGCTGCAGTCGGCTGGCGGACACATGTGGGAACTCTTCACCATGTTCAACTCTGCCACCTCCTTTGGCATTTGCAGGGAGAGAATGGTGTTATGTGTTTGGTCACACTAGGGATGCCTTTGAGAGACCCCAGTCTTCTCTGTTGGGCTGATGTAGGCACAGCCCCTTGTCTGCCCCAAAGCAAGATGTAAGACCTCCCTCCCCCTGCCCCCACAACCAACTGCATCTTCCATCCTCTAAGAGGTAGACACCTCCTCTACAGGCTTCTGAAGGAAGAGTCTGGTCCACGCCCTGACACAAGTCAGCTCCTCCAGTCCCTGAGTGCCATCCCCTCACCCCTTCCTCCTCAGTGCTTAAGGCTCTACAATTCAAACCCGGCTCTTGGAAGGGCTGTGCCCTTGGACAAGTCACTCAACCAGTGTCAGTCCCGGTTTCCTTACCTGTAAACTCTTTCTTAGAATTATGGACCAGAGTGAAATCGTACAAGTAAAACAGCACCCAGAGCCCAGCCGTAATAAGAATCAATGAACGGTAGCTATCATTATTACGGATGATAATGATGATGACAGCGTAAATTTGGGCTAGATTTGCGCTAAGAGCGAAATAGCCCCCTCTCCCCGCCCGGTGCTGGGCCACACGGTGGAGACACTTGGGTCATCCGGTCGTGGGGTAAATGCAGGATCTTCAGACAGCGGGCTTAGGAACCACCGGGCGGTCATACTCTAGTCTGTTCGGAGGGGCTGCGGGGTGAAGCCGATTTTATGATGTAGGGGATCCAGTAAACTGAGGACCCTTCCCTCCTTCACACCCCACTTTCCAGGTCTGGAAACCGACATATGGCTGAAGAACGTCAGCAGCTGCGCCCGCTGCACCCTTTCCCCAAGGAGCTGGTAGAGCGTTCACCTTTGCCCCTGCCTCAGCTCCCTAACTCTCCTCCAGGTGCAGGCGAGACTGCGCTACATTTGGCCGCTGAGATAACAGGTTGGCAAACCAGGCCTGGGATACGTCTCCCCAGTTCCCTGCTCAAACCCAGACGCTTCTTCCGAAGCAGGTGGGCAAACAACCTACAATCTCGCAACAACTTTGTGTATGTTTCCACGACAGGGCGCACGGCCTCAGCTTCCCCTGTGGGCTGCGCTGCGACGAGGAACGCGGGAAACCAAGGTTAGCGAGACACCCCGCAGGCCGCGCAGTCTTCTGGGGGCGCCCCCCCAGAGGCGCGCCCGGTCTTACCTTGTCTGACGGCTTTGAAGGTGACGGCCTCCTTGCAGCTGTCGATGACTCCCAACACGTCATAGCGGGGCAAGCCGGACACCCGGATCCCCTGCACCTCCAGAAGCAGCTCCCCCTCGCCTAGCCTCGGGCCCTCGCCGCCGCCAGGAAGCCCCTCCACCTCGGCCGCCGCCACCGCTCCGACATACGGAAACTCCCCGTTCTCCGCGCCCCCCAGCACCGTCAGCCCCAGCTCGCCCTGGGGCCCCCGCTTCACGGTGCATTCGTGAACCCTGCTAGTCCAGTGATTCTTCTTCTGGACGACTTTCGACATGATGAGGTACACCCCTCCTCCAAAATAAAATCAAATGAGAGACAGGTGCCCCCCCAGCACGAGCCTCCAAGCCTCCCCTGGTTCATAGAGAGCCGTCTCCTCCCAAATAACGCCACAGGAGAGAGAAACTTGGCAGCCTCGCTCCCCCGCACACACTTGCGCACTCAAGCCATCATAAAACAAACTTTCCGGGCTTCCCCGCGAGCCGTGCACAGGCGCCCGCGAGCTTTGTTTGCATTCCGGTGCCTCTCAGTCCACGTTCCTGCGCCCGACCCTGCTCTCCGGGACCAGAGTCCACTCTGCGCCGCTTGGGCTATTTTTCTCCTTCCTTCCTTTCTTGCCTTTTAGAAATGCGGTGTCTCCTCTTTGCCTCCCGCCGGGCTCGTCTTTCCTCGCCGGCGGGCTCTTCCTGAGCTGAGGGAAGCCCTTCCAGCCCAGTTGCTTGGAGCCCTGGAGACGCGGGGGCGAACAGGAGGCAAGGGCCCGCGGCCCCTTTAAGCACATACAAAGGCTCGGCTTGTTTTGTTACAGTTCATTCTACTCCGCGCCGCGGAGCGCAGCGCAGCGGCCGGCGAGAGGAGACGCGCGCGCATGCGCCCCGCGGCCGCCCGCCGTCCGGCCCGCCCCACCCCTCCTTCCCGGAGAGGGAGAGAGTCCAACATGCTTCCCGTTGGGTCCTAAAACCTACCTGCGGGAGACGCCGCTTTACACCCCCGCCGCTTCACACACCCCCCTCACACACTCCTGCTCCTTTTCTTTCGGAGGCGTAGACCCAGCAGATCCTTTTAGGGGTAGGAGAGCGCACGTGTTTCGCTCAAACTGTTTGAAACTTTTGAAACAGAATTTGACTTCGGGATTTTAGAACCCTTTCAAACAGGTGGGGGTTGGGGAGGCTTTCACACTCACCTCGGGCTCACACTCACGCACTCACGCTGGCCCTAAGCCTCCCACCGCCCTCGGCCAGTGGCTGGCCACGCTGTCGGTCACCTCGCCGGCTGTGTCCGCCGCCCCCACACTCCCCGCCACATTTCCCCCTGAACCCCTGAGTCCCACACGGAGGCGCACCCCTGCTGTCTGCCGGCGGTGCGCCCACGGCTTCGCGTTCTGGGGAGGGTCTGCCAGTACCCCGGGGAGGGGGCCTGCGGGGGTCCCCTTGGCCACCCATCTGGGATCCCTGTGAGCGTCACACGCCCCTACACGCACTCTCGCGCCCTTAAACTTTGGAGCCAGCTTTACAGGCTACAGAGGTGGGAGAAAAGCCAAAGGGCTAGGAGGGGTTCGGATCCTCAACCCTCGGTTAAATGGGATCTAGCTTTTTAACTGTCCTTCCAGAAGCCTTCTGGAGTCTGTTTCTGGCGGAGTCGGGAGGCCTTGGGACCCTCCAGGAAGCCAGGAGATAAGGATCGCCACCCGGTCTGGGAACTGCACCCCGTCCTGGCGCCCATGGGGGTGTAGACGCGGCCGCCACCTCCGGGAATTCGCAGCCCCGGGTCGCTGCCACCTCCGGCACCGCCCTGGGGCGGGGAGAGAGTGGGCGTCTGTCCTAGCGAGGTTACAGAACCAGCTCGGGGTTCGCAGACAGGAAAAACACCCCTCACCGGGCAGGCTGCCCCATCCAAACACTCCCCTAATCAACCTGGGCGGTCAAGAGTCTCCCAAGCAGTTTCTTTTTTCTCTTAAGGATTTATAACTTGCTTGTTCATCTTTAGTCACTGGAAAGATTCCGAAAGCTAAATAAGGGAGATGAGTTGGCACTCAGAAAGAGTGGTATGCAGCAGGGTTCTGGATTGAGAGCTGGGCTCTGAGGTTTAGGTTTTCCCTGGTCCACTGTCTGTGTGACCTTGGACAAGTTCCGTGACCTCTCCAAGCCATCATTTTCTCCTCCGTAAAATGAATTTACCAGTACCTCACGGGGTCCTTGGGAGTATTACGTGGGAGAACACTGTAAAGCCCTCAGCTCGTAAAGTAAACACTTGTGAAGTGGCATATAATAAAAGTATATTGTATTATTATTAGTATTAATACTCATATTTGGATAGGGAAAGGAAATCATTTGGGGTTTCAGGTTAAATGATGATAATTCATCTCCTACTTTCTAGAACTTTATATATATGTATAAATCTGGTTGCCACTGAGTGGATTCCAACTCACAGCGACCCTATAGGACAGAGTAGAACTCCCTCATAGGGTTTCCAAAGAGGGCCTGGTGGATTTGAACTGCCATCCTTTTTTGGTTAGCAGCCTTAGCTCTTAACCACTAAGTCACATACATTTAAATATTTTTAAAGCACTTTGTTAGGATTCTATTCGATGCTAGGGAGCCCTGCTGGCTGCGGTTCATCTTCCTCTGAAGTGTAAGTTCTGGGAGAGCAGGGAATTTGGCAGTTTTGTTTGTATTGCCAGTTCCTAAAACAGGGCCTCACCAGTCACCAGTTGCCCTCGAGTAGCTTCTATCTCATGGGGACCCCATTGTGTTTCAGAGCAGAACTGTGTTCCATTGGGTTTTCATGGCTGTGACCTTTTGGAAGCAGATCACCAGGCCTTTCTTCCGAGGTGCCTCTGAGTGAGTTCAAACCACCAATCTGTAAGTTAGTAGGCAAGTGCTTAACTGTTTGCACCACCCAGGGGCTCCTAGAACAATACTTGGTACCTAGTAAATGCTCAAGTATTGGGTGAATGAATATTCCCAGAAAAATGCACAGTTTCACCTCCCATAATTAGAGGAGAATCACAGATTACCTTACAAATCACTAGTAAGCTAGATCCTGTGGGTTTCCCCGCTTCCCTACTCCATAGTCTAGTGAAGGCTGATTGCTAGCTAGAAATTCCTCCACCTGCCTAGAATCAGTGATCTACCACCTCTGGACTCCCACCCCTGCCTGGGGGAGGCCGGGTGCTTCTGGACTCCTCCCACTGTGGTGGCACCATTTTCCCTCTCCAGGATTCCAGGTGTCCTTGCAGCTAAGAAGGGAAGGGACATGGAATTTAGCACACTTCAGGTTTCAGATGTGGAGTGACCCCAGGAGAGGAAGGAGTAGCCGCGAGTACAGAGTGCAGGATGGAGAAAGGGTTAGGGAAACAAGAAATAATTTAAGCCTCCAAAGCAGCCAAAGCTGCCAATTTTCAAATATTAACTATATGATGTTCCCAAACTCTCTTGCCCTCCTCTCATTCCTACTGTTTTCTCTCTTTCAGCTGGTCTAGTTCCTGTGTCCCAGAATGGAAACTCCTTCAGAGCAGAAATCGTATCTGCCCTACCAAACCTTTGAATCCTCAGAACGTAAAACAATTCTTTATATGGACTGTGCTCCATACACACTTATTGAATAAATGAATAAATAGAGGAAGTGTGATGTTAGGCCATATAACATGTGGCCTTTGACCCAAAGCCAATTTTTAGATTTGGTGGCTAGAACCAAGGTATTTGTAGATTATTTTCTTGAAAGAGTTTGAAGTAGATTTTTCTTGAATAGATGTAAAGTGGGACCCTAGTGTCCAGGAATCTCTCATGTAAGCCATGACTTTGGCAGTGCGTTCTGATGGGGAGAATAATACCATGAAGGACATAACTTTGAGGTTTACCTGTGTACCAGGATCGTTATGGGCATTATTTTCTTTAATCCTCCCAGCAACCTCGTGAGGTAGGTCTTATGAATGACCAAGAGTGTTATGGATTGAATGGTGTCCTCCCAAAATATGTGTTGAATTCCTGGCCCTGGTACCTGTGAATGTGATCCTGTTTGGAAATAGGTTTTTCTTTTGTTATGTTAATAAGGCCATGCCAGAGTACCATGGATCCTAAACCTAATCACTTCTGAGTTATAAAAAGACCAGAAGAGACACAGAGACACAGATAGGTGGTAGGCAGATGCCAAGAAACTCCAAGGAACATCAAGAATCCCCAACAAACACCAGAAACTAGGAGAGAGGCTTACAGAAGGAATCAGCATAGCCAAGACCCTAATTTGGGCTTTTAGCCTCCAGAACTGTGAGAAAATAAGTTTCTGTTCTTTTAAAGCCACCCACTTGTGGTATTTCTGTTACAGCAGCGCTAGGAAACTAACACACTGACTTTGCGATTGAGGAAAGTGAAGGGAGGGAAGTGAAGAAACTTGTCCCAGGTCACAGAGCTTGGACGTGACAAAGCCAGGATTTGAACCCAGAGGCATGACTAAAGTCCATGCTGGAAACCACTTCACTATGAGAGTGTAGGATGTGAGCATCTGCTTTTAGCATATTCAGTAAGAGGATCTGCTTGACTCTAGAGTCTGCCACGTAGTGTGTGCACAGTAATTAAGTCACTGTCTTTGTCTCTTCCCTTTAATCTGAAGAAATACAATATTCCACTCAGGAACCCAATCTCCTGTTCCCCATCTGTGGGCTCTGAAGAGGAAATAATTTACTGGATGTAAAGAGGATTAATTTGCAAACATTTCTAATGTTTGGAGATCTGTGGGCTGTGGTACAGGTGAAGTGGCAAACATTCTTATACTGTTATTGCACAGGCATTTCAACAACAAACTTAATAAACACAGTGGATTCAGATGAAAAATAAACTGTGACACCCAATAAACTCTCAACAAATTAAGATCTTGTTTTTCATTGAGATCTTGTTCTACTTGGAGGTTAAAAAATAAAAAACACAAATATGAAATGTGCATTTCTCCTCCTCATCCCAAATTCGTTTCTTTCCAAAGTTTTCCAGTTGTGATTACCTCGTTTTTCTGAAAATGTGAGGCTGGGAAATAAATTGTTCAGCTGTGGGGCAAAGAAAGAAATATAAATTGGTTATCTTTCTGTTTTTGAAGAATGCTAGCAAGAAGTATACGATAGTGACGGGGAATTTAAATACTTTGTATGCAGTAAGGTAACTGACTCCAAACTGGTGCTTTAAAACAGAAGACAGATTGGGGAGGCTTAACCCAGTAGTTCAGGGAGAAGATAGATGGCAAAGCAACATTTACATAATCATCTGGAAGCATTTTTATGCTTCACTTGAT